TATATATATATATATATATATATATATATATATATATATATATATATATATATATATATATATATATATATATATATATATATATATATACACATATATATATATATATATATATATATATATATATATATATATATACACACACATGTGTGTGTGTGTGTGTGTGTGTTTAGGCAACAGTCCTTCTTTCATGCACATTTTATACAATTTCTCATGTGATTTAATATGATAAATTATATAACTGTTCAATTGTTCTTTTGATTCGAGCGATTTCATCTACAGATTTAGCCATTTTCAAGGTTGAAATATATTAACAGTTAACAAGAAATAGATTGTGTATGTGTGTATTTATATAATGTTTTTATTTTTCCAAACACGGTGAAGATATTGTGCCCATGTTCATAGTTGATATTACTGAGTGTTGTTTTATTTGTTTTTGTTTTTATTAATAAGGCTTCCATTATTTTTTTGGGATACAGATGATGCGATTATATTTGTGTTCTCAACAATTATGTTACGAATAATGTCCGGTAGGTCTCCATTTTTTTTATCATCCGAAACGAAAAGACTTAATAGATCACATGAGACATTGTATAAAAATATCTAATCAAAGCACCTTGTTTGTCCTATTCAATGAAACATACATATATATATATATATATATATATATATATATATATATCTGTGTGTCTATCTGTTAGGGTTCTTTAGCTATTAATTTGTTAAATATTGGTAATGTAATACAGAGTTTTACATTGGTAAAGTATTTATTGGGATTCCCTCGAAGTATTTTCGATGTCAACATTTATCGTATTTAAAAAAAATTAAGGTGACATTTTAAAAATCAACCTTATGCCTCGTTTTTTTTCCGTGTATTACAGGCGAATATAAATGGTTGTCTCAACGCTGGTATCTCTAGTCTTTATAGATGCGGGGGATCCAAATTTAGAGATGTCCCGCCAGTGTATTTCTGCATTACTACATTATATATATATATATATATATATATATATATATATATATATATAGCGCGATGGATAAATTTTCGTCATTTTTTAATATTTTTAATTCTTCGCATGCGCGTTGTTTGCTTTTTTAATTTTGTCGACAGATCAGTATAGTATGATCAATTGGGCATCGTCTGTGAGAAAAGGAGCATCATGACGGAGTTCACTCTGCCAGAAATTTGGAAACGGCATGCTGTACTGCCTGGACTTGTACGGAAGTTCTAATACAAACATTTTAAAGTATTTGGGTGTCAATCTGAAGAGAGTGCAGAGGATTCGGAAAGTGTTGACTGAGTCTAATGGTGATTACGAAGGTACCGCATCTCGGAAAACGTCTATGGTGAGTAAAGAACTGACGAATTTGTTGGTGAGGGCCTCAACACAGAGGCTTATATTAAGTGACTGTATTCGAATGATATTATATATATATATATATATATATAATTTTCTATTTTAAAAACATGGGCCCATCGCTACACAAGAATTACCATGTTTCCGAACATTTTTAAAAATTTTAAAATTTTAAATTTAACTCTAAAATTACATTTAAAATCCATATATTTTAAATTTAATTTTAATTTTATAATTGAATTTAAAATTTTAGTTTCTGTTTTGAAACATAGTAATTAGTGTGATGGAACCATATATTTAAAATAAAAAAAATAATTATATTCTTATGCTCTACTGCATTAAAAATAAAAGTAATTACTAAGAACACCAGATTGTGTATCATAATGTTCTTTCTTATTAATATATATATATATATATATATATATATATATATATATATATATATATATATATATATATATATATAAGAGAGAGATGAGAACGAAAGATTTAAATCCTGTTATTTGACTGAAAAATTCTCAGCATTCTTTCGCTTGAATCCAAAAGCGTGAACATGTTTTCTGTTCTCTTTCCTTACCAAAGTAAAGCCAATATACCTTTTTAGAAAATTCATCTTCTCTCTCTTTCTTCCTTTCTTTCTTTCTTTGACCTCTTTATCGCTCCCTATCACTTTATTTTTGTCTTTTCAATAATGGAGCTTAAGAGGCAATAGAAATGCTCAGAAAAATAGTTTTCAACATGTCTTCTTTGCAAGGTTATTTGATTGCAAGTAAGATATGAAACATGAAGCTATCAGTGAGAGTTTGAATTGTGTTTTCAAGTAAAGAATAGTTATGGAATAACAACAACAATTCCTTATTCCTTGTCAATTAGACTCGGAAAAATACTTCGGGCTCGGCTCCGGGCATAAGTAACGTTTTTTCAAAGTTTATTTCTGGAAGCAAATGAATCATGTTTTTCACTTGCACATGCCTTGTTCCGCCTTATAATCTATTGTATATGTAAATTCAAAAAGTCTTTTCCGCTGTCACATTGACACAGCTATGATGATGATGACGTTATCAATCAATAACGAAGACATTAACAAATACAACTGTGGAGACATTTTCAGGGTTACACATAAATATAATGAAGAAATTGATGGCGGCATTATCATGGTGTTAATGATTGAAAAATTACAACAATTACGATTATGCTGACATTACAGCACTTAGAATGGTGGCTACATTAGCATGGTTGTTTTATAATGAATGGGATAATATAACGTGGGACAAGTGTCTGCTGCTTGGAATGAGAAAACGAGGAGACGAGTTCGAACCCCACCAATTTCGTTACATTCACTTACACGCAAATACACTTGGGGGGAAAATGTGAAACTATCTCATTTACATCTATTTAAAATTGGTTGCCTGGCAACCATTTAAGAGTTTGTGAATCGATAAATTCACCCATCTCGCAGCCAGCCAGTACCACAGGCCAGTTTGCATCGGCCTATGATAGTTCTGGCTTGGTCAACTACTGTTTTCTGCAGCAAATGGGAAAAAAAGTGCTTACTTTATATTTTGAAAGGCTCGTGGACGAGCGATTTAAACGTTCGCTTTCTGACCATGCGATTCGAAATCAAATCTTTGTATGGTGGACTTTTCATGAAAGTGTCACCCTGATATTATCAGCCTGTGGATGGGATTTCAGAAGGCGGCACTTTTAGAAATTGCGTATAAATCATACCCTGTGTTAACCGAACGTTTGGTAGTGATACTGAGACGAAGGGACTGTTCGGAGGCTGTCAATAGTTGTGCCAGAACGAAGTTATCCTGACCGAAGATTCGAACGGTCTGACATTGCTCAAATTGTAGATTACGTGAGATGATGCGCTCTCCTCTGGAAACAACAATTAAGCATCGTTGAACATAATTAGAGTATAAACGAGAGTTGGGTTCTCTGAGATTTGAATAACTATAAATGTGCTTGAGCAGGCGAGTGCAAAATAGAATGGCCAACAGACTTAACAGACTGGCATGTTCAGACAAGAATAACCTCCCATTTTAATGGTGGATATATTATAAAAAAAATATAAAATAATGATACTAATATAATTATTACATTGTTTGTCGCACCGCAATATTTATTATGGTGGCGATATTAATACTACTACAATGATAGCAAATCTATAAGGTTGAAAATGATGACGTCATATCAGACAAGTTTTGGAATGTGTAGCTAACGTTATTTACACTTGAACGAATGTCCTCATCGTTGTTATTCGCCCATCAGCTTAATTCATATGTCTATGAGCGTAAACTTTAGGAACATTTTCCCTGAACACTTATTTTAATATATAGATTGTCCTCGTTCCCTGTGGGAGAATACGATATGTAAATGTAAATGCCTATATATCAGAAGAATGTTGAATAACAAAATGGAAATGTAATAATTAGGCAACGGATGACAAGGACTTCATTAAAACGGTAAATATTTAAAAAAAAAATAGCATTCGTATATCCTCAGTTTTCCATTAAGTTCATGAGTATAACCAAGGATACGTTTAGACACCCACAAATATATATATGTATATATACATATATATATATATATATATATATATATATATATATATTAATAGGGCGGTTATCCAATATATATATATATATATTCCTAAATTTTCGCTTGAGGATGAAACAGGGTTTGATACTTTAATTCAATTTCAATAATTTTGTTGAGGTTTTTGGTTCTTGTTTTTGAAACATGAAAACTTATGTAGCGAACGAATGGTATTATTTAATATATATATATATATATATATATGACATGCTATTATATTGCCACTCGTATTCGAGTATACCCGTCTACTAGGGTGGCCAGCCAATCCCTATTGCAGAAGCTCGCTCAGGAAGATTTCTGTTTGTTCAACACCAACAGAGCATACCTATGGTTTATACTTCAACTATGCTGAGAAGACCTTAGTTACAGTTGATGGGAGAGAAGCGTATTATCTATAACGTTCAACAACCTGAATATCGGTCATGCTAGGACAGTTATCGAGGGCCTCCAATTGCATTCAGAGGTCTTGAGTCAACCCGTAATATGGTTTTCAGGCACTTTCCAAATGTGCCGCATGCTGAGATTTGGGGGTTCATTGAGGAATTCATTTGACTCAGTTCTAGCAATCGACTACTTCTTGTACGCATCGCTGGCCAATCTTATATGTGTTGTTCGTGTCCTAAGTATTATCATCCATTACCAAACTTCGTGTGTTTATTCTATTCAGTAACATTTCCTAGGTTACAACAATATATATATATATATATATATATATATATATATATATTTCATTAAGAACATTACTTGTGTGAGTTATTCATTTTCTACGGCTTATAAACCATTTGCAGGTAATTCAAAGTCATAGATTTTTCTTAGATTGTAAGAGATCTTTCTTGATGATCATGATTTAATGATACAAGTCTTACTAATTAACCCATAGCTGGAGGGGAAAAACGTGGATTCATATCTTTCCGAAATGTATTTGCTCTTAAGTCGATATATACGAAGAGAAATTAAATTGGATCTCGACTCCCCGTTTAACAATTCGAAGCCGTTTTCCTTTTCCCAACCAGCACATCCAAGTTTACAGAAACTATATCACCAAGCGGTCACCCATCTAGGTACTGACCAGGCTCAATGTTGCTTAGCTTTGGTGTGCGTACGGGAACCCGTGTTTCAACGTGATATGCCCGTAAGCCAACGTTAATTTTGTTTGATGAAACCCTTTTCAAGGAAGTAACGGATTTAACATTTTGTCATTCGATTACCCAACACCCTCCATTTTTTTTCTTCATTTCTAGTCTTGTTAGGTTAGTATTTTTTTGTTATTACACTTCCTATTTTCCGTAAGACTGTTCACTACTATTCATTTAAAACGTCGGTTAATGTGTTTGGTTCCATTCTAATTTTCGGCTCAATCTCTCGGTTCGGTAGTAGAGTTATCATAATGGTAAGAATGTCTGCCTGACCGTGTTTACAATAACAATAATGTGGCACCATGCATCCAGGCGATTTGAAAGATATATTTATAGATATATGATTTGCTTTTTTACGGTTTATCACCATTTGAGGATTATTTAAGGCCGAAATGTATTTTAGGTTTTAAGAATAATTCTTTCTTTTTGCAAGTGGATTGTGGCGCCATGCATCCAGGCGATTTGATAGAGAAAAAAGAAAAAAAAGGAAAAGGAAAAAGTAATGCGAGATGGATCATAGGCGAACACACACACGGCTTAAGAGAAAAAATAAGAAAAAAAATGTATTTTGGAAAATGTCGAAAAGGGTTATTTTATAATGACAAAGAAATTGTCGAAAAGAGTTTCAAAATATCTAGGTCACCTACAAACAAGCAGACCGATTTCCCCAGTCCGCGCGAAAATGGATATGTTATCAAGAGATGTCACCAAAGAAAGTCCACTTGAAAACGTTAGATTTTGATAATTGACAAAACACAGGTGTAGCTTAGAGCCTTAGCTGGGTATGGAAAAAAAAATCCCACACAAGTAGTTTCACTGGTTAAATTTTTTTTTCGACAAAACAGACTTTGCCCTGCGATAATAAAAAATTTTGTTATCAGACACATGAACCGAAGGAAAATGAAATTTTTTTATTTCTTCTTTGGAGACGCCAGACTGGCTGAGAACTTGGAGAAAATTCTTTTTTAGACCATGTCGGAAAATCCAGCCGTCTAATGCATTACCGATAAACTGCTTGACAAACGCCACGTGTTGAACAAAGAGTTGTCATATTATCCGTTCATGATAACGGCGATTTGAAGGAAAGAAAAAAAGAAAGAGTTGAGATCATTAATTTTTTTTTTTTTAAGCAAGGTATATTTTTTTTCCAAAACAAAGCCGCGGGTTGTTCACGCCCGACTAAGACGTCATTGGCCAAGTGGTGATCACATGACGCACGAAGGAGGAGGAAAGATACCCGACCAAGACCTCATTGGCCGAGAGTGGTCACGTGACGCACGAAGAAAAATGTCGACGCCCCATCCAGAGTATAAGTATGAGAAGCCGCTACGAAGAAGTGGGGAGGGCAGTTCACGCCCCTCAGAAGCATGGTGAGAAAGTGGGAGGAGAAAAAGGTTACCAAAAATGGAAAAGAGTGGAAAATCCCTAACCAGAAATAAAAGAGGTGGATATGTATTTAGAATTATCGAGGAACCCCCGACGCCAACAGACCCACCCCGGTTTTGGTCGGCGTCAATAAAAACGAAGCTCCACCAGACAGAAATCAGTTCGTCCGGCCCTGGTGGCAAGGAAGAGAGTTCGTTTGGCCCTGAGTGCCGAGTTCGTTCGACCCTGGCGGGCAGAGTTAGTTCGTTTGGCCCTGAGTGCCGAGTTCAGTCCGACCCAGGCGGGCAGAGAGAAGTTAGTTCAGTCCCGGACGGCAGAGATGAGTGCCCAGTAGTTCAGACCCTGGCGGGCAGAGTTCAGTCGGACCCAGGCGGGCAGAGAAGAGTTCGTTCGACCCTGGCGGGCAGAAGACAGTTAATTCAGTCCCGGACGGCAGATAATGAGTGCCCAGTGTTGAAACCGCCTCAAGATAGCTGACCAAGATTCACGCAAAATTTTGGACTCTTCTTCAACCAAGAACAATTAGTTTGAAGAGCGACTTAGAACCAGACCACAGAAATAAGTTTTTTTTTGACTTTCGTCCAAAGACACACCGAAACACAAATTTCTTAGAGAGCAGACAACTTGAAGCGTTAAAACTTGCCTAGCGAAAAACGACGTGACACAATCCACAGAACGGGTCGGGAGGTAGATGCAGTCCTATGTACCGAACAACTAGACATAAAAAGTTTGTTACCTTTTTCTTTGATACTTTGAACTTTTTGAGTTTTCATTTTATTTTCTTTTATGCATATTTGTGTGTTATCACCCCCGTTGAACTCAATTTGCATTACGGCCCCAACCCCTGTTTGATCTCGTCTGTCTAAGATCAATTCACAACGTGGGTAGGCAGACTGGAGATCAGTGCAGTTACCCTGGTAACCAGGCGTTGGAAGCAGGTTGGGAACGGCGAGGCTGATATCAAATCTAACCAGATTCCTACCCGAATCACCAAAGGGTTAGAACGTCACGCTTGGAGCAGCGACACCCGGACGGAGCAGCGAGGACGAACAACTGGCGCCGCGGCGAAGACGTCACAATTGGTGCTGTTTAGGGACGTCACATCTGGTGTCGCTGACCGATAGACCCAATGGAACGGCCACGTCACAACTGGCGCCGTGGTAGATCAGGATAGAACGTCACAGTTGGCGCTGCGACCAGGGGACGACGTCACAAACCCTTGCCGTGACCAGGATGAGAACCTGGTAGCCACGTCACGTCACAATTAACATTTTCATATATATATATATATATATATATATATATATATATATATATATATATATATATATATATTCCCATTGTTACAATGCTACTGGCATTATCATAGTTATAATAAATGAAACGCGAATATAGCTAGACTAAAAGGGACAGTTTTATAGACAGTATTTTAGACAGTAATCAGGGATAAGAATTGTCATAGATGTAAGCATCTTCATATGACCATTGTTACAATGATATGGAAATTGATTATGACATATGATTACAATAATGAGCATATTATGGTCACATTATCATGGCTAAAATGGTGGTGTTTTGCAAATCGTACGTGAGAAAATATAAACATATCCGTTATAATCTGGATCCCTATAAATATGTTTGAATAGTCATTAAAATTACTTTTTTGTCAGTTACTTCAGCAGATGTAAGTATTTTCCAGACTAATACCTCATTTGCCTATGTAGTGGGGAGATACATTCCAAAGGTTGAAGCCTCCGGGTAGCAGGGACATTTCTGTTTCTTTTGTCGAACAAGAAAAAACCGGCACTGAGGCAAGACGTCGGAAATGGCGATGCTATAATGGTTACGTATAGATGTGAATACCGATAATGTAAAAAATAAAAAGTACCTGTCTTTCAAATTAGAATTTACATCACCGAAAGATGAAAAAAATAGCATCTCTAAATGTATTTTTCTTTTAATCATCTCCCTCCATGAAAGATGGCAATGCCGCAAAGATGAAAGTATTTCCTGAGTGTGAAAAAGAAGATTTTAGTGAGAAGAAAGGAATAGAGTTGAAGAAGACAGAAAGGGTCGATTGGTGCTGCATTTAGACTTTTTAAAATTATAGGTAGAACGGAAGTAATAGACCGGAAGAGAGATCTCCAGACAAGGAGTGCAAAAATCAAAATGTAACGTACGGTTGATTCTAGTTACTTCAACACTAAAACAATGAGACCTAATTGCTTATTTAATAGTACGCTTAAATTCATGTATTCATGGCAACATAGCTGAAAGCTCGTCACAAAAAACTGCTATAAAATATTTTTTAAAAAAAGACAGAGGGAAGCCATATCACGGGAGTGGGGTAGGTCGAGATGAGAGATCAGGATGGATTACATTACAGACATTTCTTTGGATTTTGTCAACCCTGAAGCCACACTATGTTGTAGTCTTCCCTTACTTCAATCTGCTCATGCTGCCTTTTTCGATCGCCCTAAAACTACATCACTCACAACAGAAATATATTTTTATAAATGTTTGTAAGCCGCAACACGAGAGAAATTGTAGAATTTATATACGATCGATGGAAGTGAAATGTACTGGATTTAAAGAAGATGTGCGTTACAAAAACAGACAGAAGTGGATCAGTTAAATACGAGGCAAATACAACGGATTTAATGAAGATTGTCAATTAGCAGAGAAAATAGACGCAGAGTAATGACTAGAATGTCCACTCTTTTTAATTTGTTCTCTTCTCCTCCTCAGGAGTCCAATACTTGGTATCATGTGACAAATAAAAGCTAATCTTACGGTTTTCAGCAAAAAAATACTGCTCCTCCTGATAATCCTCTTTATGTAGGAGTATTTTTACGTCTTTCGTCCGTTGGCCGAGTCCAAACGTTTAGGGAAATATTCTCCCTCGCAACACTAAGAAATAACAATTTTAATGAATTTACAAAAGAAAAATGTGAAATACTTTAAAAAAATATGAAATTACCTCCTTTACAATAATTAACTTTATCCGTTATATATTAATTAGTTTCTAAATAAATCAATGAGTATTTTTCAGGAAATTTCACTAAGTGCAGTTTGCACTTTCGAGTAATAAACCTCAGGGCAAAATAACGAAGAAGAAAACGAGCCGAATTTTAAAAGGGGAAATAACCTGAATGATTTATAATGACAATAATAGAAAAAAAAAGGAATTATTAAAGCTATATTTAAGTTGGTTGCAAAATCAATCACTTCTAATTATCTAAGCGTGGCACAAAAACGAAAGAATGGCGCACATAGTGAGGACCGAACTCAATATTCACTTGTAATTGATCTATCGTGACAAACTTGTTAATCCTTATGCCAAGCCGAAGTGCCCCATCACTGATTCATATGTATTACTTTCACATTAATGTTTGTTAACTTGCGGGAATTTGGGATGAGTACACTGTTTTGTTTTTGTTTTTTTTGTTTGTTTTTTTTCATACCCTGTGTAGAATGATCGGTATTTCTAGACGAAATTAAAGAAATGCAATACTTTTTGCTGCCGAATATGTTCTGACTAGTATAACCAAAGTTGCCAATTTGAAACACGAGGAGATTGGGTTGCGAATCTTCAACTTCTCAGAATATTCACA